TTTTCATAATGCAAAAGAATAATAATAATAATTTAAGCCAAAGTATATTTTAATTACTTACTGTTCAAATAAAAGAATTATTAAATTCTTAAATAACTGAAGCAGGTAGAAAACAAGATTTCTGTATGCCATATATAGTAATTATATATCTCATGCTCAATATAATTTGATTGTATATTGTTTGAATTTTGTTCATTTTCTCCACAAAATGAAACCCCATATTCAACATATGTGATCATATTTAAATTATGCAGATATTTCTGTAAGTGTTTTTATTCTTTTTCTTCATCTTTTATAAATTAAGTTTCTGAATTTTAAAAAGAAATATTACTAACAAAAATATTTCAAATTAAAACTTAAATTTAGTTTCCAAATCCACAGCTTAGGATGTACACTTCATGAAAAAAGTAACCCTATAATCATGCCATTTCCTAGACTAAACTGTAACAATACTTTTACTGTTGTGAATGTCATATTAAACGACTAGAAAAAAATAAAAAACAGAGAAATTTCATGAACTATAATGTATACCGAAGAGCCCAAATCTCTACTGTTAGAGCTACAGAAAACTATTATGTCAATATCTCAAGTTCACAGTATGGAAGTGCCTTTGCTACTAATAATTTATGAATATAATTTACCTTGAGACAATAAATGTATTTACGTTTCTTCCTTATACTCATGATAAGTAAGATACAAATAATAAGAGACATGATACAACACTGACAACCATCACTCAGAAGACTGGTCACCAAGAGTAGTGTGTGTCTCTAAAGGGTCCACTACTGGTAACACAACTATATACAAGATGATCTAACAAACACCTTGAAGTATTAATAAATGGACTTCCTTAGGTTCATATTGTTCTCTGGACTTTGTTTAGCTGGGTCAAAGCTATATTGAAGACTCGTGCAATGGGTCAAAGCCCACACCTTCAAGATGGTGCATATTCAAAATATTATATCACCCTGACCAAAGCAGCTTCAGGGTATATCATAGTCACTTGATGCACATTTTCTCAAGAAGCTAATTCTACTCCATAAAGAGGGTCACTAAACTTGAAAGTAATGAACTGTTGCTAATAGTAGCTACTCCATAAAGAGGGTCACTAAACCTGAAAGTAATGAGCTGTTGCTAATAGTAGCTACTCCATAAAGAGGGTCACTAAACATGAACGTAATGAACTGTTGCTAATAGTAGCTACTCCATAAAGAGGGTCACTAAACCTGAACATAATGAACTGTTGCTAATAGTAGCTACTCCATAAAGAGGGTCACTAAACCTGAAAGTAATGAACTGTTGCTAATAGTAGCTACTCCATAAAGAGGGTCACTAAACCTGAACATAATGAACTGTTGCTAATAGTAGCTACTCCATAAAGAGGGTCACTAAACCTGAACATAATGAACTGTTGCTAATGTAAGGTCTTTTAAACACATTTCCTCAGGAAGCTACTGCTACACTGTTAAAGGGGCCAATAAACCTGAAAGTAATGTTAAGTATCCCATTCTTGAAACCCTCTACAAAAACAACAAATCACAACAATTTAACTTTTGCTTTAAAAACTTTTCCACTAGACCTAATAAACACCAAAATACATTTTATGTTTTGATATTTGTCATGAGGCATACCTGGAACCCTCTTCAAAAATGCAAAATTTTGTTTTACAATATTGCCCAGGGGCCAAACCTAGAACCCTCATCATAAACATTAACTGTTTAAACTTTTGCTTTACAACATTTCCCAGGGGCCAAACTTAGAACCTTCATCATAAACATTAACTGTTTAAACTTTTGGTTTACAACATTTCCCAGGGGCCAAACTTAGAACCCTAATCATAAACATTAACTGTTTAAACTTTTGCTTTACAACATTTCCCAGGGGCCAAACTTAGAACCTTCATCATAAACATTAACTGTTTAAACTTTACAACATTTCCCAAGGGCCAAACTTAGAACTCTCATCATAAACATTAACTGTTTAAACTTTGCTTTACAAAATTTCCCAAGGGCCAAACTTAGAACCTTCATCATAAACATTAACTGTTTAAACTTTACAACATTTCCCAAGGGCCAAACTTAGAACCTTCATCATAAACATTAACTGTTTAAACTTTACAACATTTCCCAAGGGCCAAACTTAGAACTCTCATCATAAACATTAACTGTTTAAACTTTACAACATTTCCCAAGGG